GAGTTGGTATTTTTTGCTGCATGATGCTTTGGGATTGGTGAATCAGAAGTTGGGATTTGAATTGGATTTGATATTTCCTTGGAGAGTGGATGGGGAACTGAAGGTATTCGGTGCAGCTTCCTTGTAGAAATTGGAGTGCTTGAAGGTCCAATATTGAATTGATTTTCCACTGTAGAATGGACGGTTTTCTGTTCTCTTGGATTGGTTTCATCTTGGAAGATACAATATTGAATTATAAATCAAAATCAGCACTCATGTTACCCAACTATAATTCACCAACATTCAAATTTCATACCTTCAAAATCCATAGTCTCATCCAATTGATCTCTTTCTATTGCCCTTCCTTTCCCTTTTTCCAGGCGTTCAACTGGTGATGATGGTTCGCCAACTTTATCAAAGTGAAGAATATTAATTCCCTGTTCTCAAAAGGTATGTAGATACACTTACAGCCAAAAGTTGATGCCGACGCATTCCATCCCCAACCTTGATCTGCACTCTCTTCATTAAGACGTGCTCGCTTTGAAGTTCCAATTGCTTTACATTCTCAAAATTAAACACTTCAATTCACATGTATCTGTTCAATTTTCAAGTAAAAATAAACAAGCTTACCGTTCTTTGGCATTAATTTCAAAGGCTCCCCAAACTTCCTCGAATTGAATACCCCTCCCTCTCTTACTGCCCTGTCAATGAGTCTCTGCCTACTTGGTATAAGTTCCTCGTTCATCCTTTTTGATCCCTTCATTAGACTCCCGAATTCTTTCTTATTGAATTTTCCTTGCAGAGGCAAGGATTGCATGCGTTTACGAGGTTCCATATTGGGTGGATTTAAGCTTGAAAGGTAGGATTCTCGATTGTTTCCAGATGGCTGATTTCCCGGTGTCTTTTGAGGTCCTTCCCTCCATCTCTCAATATGTTCATCTGGTGAAATGAGAAAAATTGAATAATCAATCGTTAAAATAAAAGAGATTTTAAATTATTGAACCACTTACTCCTCTCTTTCTCATGCCTTGAAAGTATGGTATTATTTTTCAGAGTCTGTGATCTCCTACCAAACTCTTCTGAAAGTGCAGTAACTCGATCTTGAAGTTTTGCAAAACTCAGCATTCAACCATTAAATTTTATTAAAATGGTTCACAGACCTCTGTCATTCTTATCCTTCCCAGGTGGAATAGGAAATGGTTGCCAAAACTCATCTTCCAGATCCTTTTTTGCACGTTCAAAGATCAACCTTGATTGGTTCTCGGTAGATGAAACAGAATCTACTGGGGTCTCCTTTTCATTCCCACCTGTTTTGTTATCAATTTTAGCTTATCAGAGCAATTTAAAGTATATTTGAGAAATGCTGTGTTACCAAAGAAAATTCTAGCTACTCACCGATGTCCACATCAATGATGAACCCACCAGAAATTTGTGGTTCTTTCTCCTCATCAGTTTTCTTGTCCATTTCCTCGGTAGAATCATCTCGCCAAACATTTCCTGCTGGTAATTCCACTGAACAAAAAATGTTAGGACTTTAACACCTATATTTGAGTATGAGATTTCTTACGATCTTCATGAGGATTTGACCGCCAATCCATTTCCATATTAAGCCCAATTTTTTGGGACTCCTGAGCTGTTTGCCCAGGCCAACTTTCCCAACCAGTCTTTTCAACACCGTGGTTTGAATCCCAATTGACAGCTGCTGATGGCCCGGGAAGCGCAGGATTAACTTGAAGTAGTGAGACACCAAGCGGATGGAAATCATCACTTTCATCACCTGTCAAAGAAAAAAAATTGAGTTTCAAAGACTGTTCAAAATTAGTCAGTGGAAAGGATGAGAAAACTAACTTTCATACAATTCCCTTTGCTGCCGTTTTTCCCAAGCACTTCGATCCTCATCACTGCTGTTTTCATTCTGTTCCTTGCCTTCAACAACCGGTTGGGCTTGTTCTATATTTTGAGGTTGAACTCTATCAGCATTTGCTGGTAATAATATATTTACCTCAAATTCAGAAGCACTAGTCCTAGTATTTTCGGTTTGACTGCGTTTATCATTATTAGAGTAATTTTCACCCATGTTTGAAATGGTAACTGTAGGAATCTGTGGAACTAAATTCTTGGCAACTAAAACAGATGTACCAGTTGATACTTGAATTTCAATTTTTTCGAAGAATGTCAACAAATGTGAATTCATGTATATAAAAATTTGAATCAATACTGTCTTTCTCACCGCTTTCATCAGGTACTGGGCTTCCATCCTCTGATATATTCAATAGAACAGGCCGATGTATCACATTTAGCCTTTCAGCACCACCTGGTGCAAAATGTTCTCGACTAGAAGTAAGTGCGTTCTGAAGAGCGGCAGAAGTCTCACTTCCAGAATTGGAGTCACCGGACCGTCCCTCCCTCCTCGATGCTGAGCCTTTTCTAGCTGAAGCTGTTCCAATTATCTGAGTCTTCCGTTGTTTTGTTCCTGATACATGAATCTTATTAGCAGTGGAAAAAAAAGAATTCCAAAAATGAATTTAGTGGAAACTTACGGCTTGTGTCACTGCCAGACACATCTTTTTCATTTCATCATGGTGTCAACTTATTGAACCAAATTCATTGTGAAATAAAAAACTAACTAACCCCTCTGCTCATCAACTGCAAATTTTTCTTTCAAAGAAAATCAGTCACCGTTCTGCCTCAGAGTAGGATGGGTCAAACTCACTAGTGGCGATTGCATCCAAAAAAATAGATTGATCGGTTAATAAGGTTGGAAGAGGATCTGTTGATTTAATTATTGAAATATTAATTTCAATCAGGTTATAATCAGTTTTTTGCACGAGTAATCAAATAATGAGGCTCAAAATGCGTACCATTTTGGGTCTGAGGTGCATCCAAATCTTCTTGGAGATTTGATCCTTCCTTCAACTCGGAATATCTATTTGAAACAGGATCATCTGACACTAGATTTAGGATTTTTTTTCAGGCAAAGTAAAAAATCTTAGTAACCATGTAACACACAGAAGAGTCTTCCACAAGGAGCATGAACTTATTTGTGATCGAAAATCAGATAAGCTTATAAGATATTCAGTGTGGAAAAATTAGAGGGTTAAACTAACAATCCTCGCTATCAGGAAGTGATTTTTCCGCCTCGGTTTCTTTCATTTGAAGTGATAAAGAGTAGGTGGAATAAAGTAAGATTTTGGAGATATTTTTGGGGAAGTTGGGGATTGTATCACTCGATCAAAGAGAATTAATACTTTACATGCACATTTTTTTCTCACGATCTTCTGCGGTGTTTTCAAATATCTTCAAAAGCAAAATTATCCAGACTCCTACCTTTCTCCACTATCAATCATCAGTTCAGTTTGAACTGCATCCAGAAGCGTGGTTGGTATGGTTATGTTTGTTTCTCTCAACACAAATGCAAGATGATGTAATTGCTTAGTTGAACATGATGAAGCGATGGACTACCTTAAAATGTGATACTTTTCTATCACGAGTTCAATCAAACATTGACCAAATAATGCTTCATATAGCTGAATCAGGAATGGAAATTCTCATCGATATGAATGCAAAGGCACATGAACTTCACTTCAGTTCAAATTCTCACATGCATTCACCAAAGAGAACATTGATTTAGAGTCATCCACACATCGGAGTGATAAGGGGAAGTGGGTCACTGCATTCACCAAAGAGAACATTGATTTAGAGTCATCCACACATTGGAGTGAGAAGGGGAAGTGGGTTGCATTCACCAAAGAGAACATTTATTTAGAGTCATCCACACATCGGAGTGATAGGGGGAGTGGGTCACTGCATTCACCAAAGAGAACATTGATTTAGAGTCATCCACACATCGGAGTGAGAAGGGGAAGTGGGTTGCATTCACCAAAGAGAACATTTATTTAGAGTCATCCACACATCGGAGTGAGAAGCAGGGTATGGAGAGCCCAATAGAAAATGCTGCAAAAAATTTCAATATCCATGAAATTGAATAAGCAAGACATAAATCACAACTATTTGTGTGGTCAATATGGGCCAGACAGGGAAGTGGGTCACTTCAGCAAACATCAACCAAATTTCACTTAATTTCAACCGTGCCCTGATTTTTAAGAATAAATCGATTGCGTTCTTCACCCTACTGATCTAAATGGATGTTAGGTGGATATAGAAAAAATCAAATGTGAAACGTTTCAGTTCCTCATCATATCCATGAGATTTCCTGCAAAATTGAATGGAGAAAAAAGGCCTTTGGCACAGAAAGGGATCTTTGGAATATTGTGAGAAATCAAGCAACTGATTTGGTTTGGTTCGGTTGGCTGGACTCCTAGGGCCAGTTGAGGAAAAATAATTGGATTAAGAAAACCGGGATCATCAGTGAGTAATCTGGAGTTAAAATTATGAAATAACACTTTTTCCTCCTTGACATTTACATCACAGATTTCCAATTCAAAATCCCTCTCAATCATATTAATCATAGATCTTGATAAATTCTTTTAGATATGATAATTCATAGATTATACAAAATCAAAGGCGAGTCAATCATACCGGTTTCAGATCAACTCAAGTTTTGGGGATACTTTAAAATAAATGACCAAGTAAGTGCATAATTTACCAGGATTGGTGACATACTAACATAGAGTTTCATTGTCAGTATTGGTTCTGTGAAAATGGTGAAAACCATGACACGGGTCCAATTCTCAGCCACTGCTTTGTGTCAGACCATGGCTCAAACGGATGGGGCACATGTTCTATTGCTCTTTTTCCTACTTGGATTAGTCGCTGTGGGCTGGAAAGCGATCTCGTTTATACAATTAGTGGATACGTTACATCTGAAACCATGGGAGGTCAATTGAACTTCAACTACAGACCAAACGATGCGTGGCTGGTGAGACAAGATGTGGAAGAGATACGGGACAAAAGGGTTATGATTTATAGTGATGGAACTATTGTTTCAGTCAAAGAAGTAGATGTTTGGCCTGGGGTAGTTCCTGGATTTGAATTGATTGTGGAGCACAGAGTGAATGTGAGTTTTCAACACAAGTTCCAAATGAATGGTGCCATAACTGACTCCGAGATACAGAATAATGATCAAATATTGAAAGCAAAGTATCTTTTAAATAACAATCACATCCGGATCCCAGAGGGAACAAATCTCAAAAAAGGAGATCGAGTAAACTTTCATGGTAGCCTGGAAGGAATTGATGGCGAGGGGATGATGATTGTTCAAGTGAGCAAACAAGATATATTCACTCACTGATATTTGATGTTGACAATTATTTTTGCAGGTAGATCAGGGAATGTATGAAGATATGAATAACAATTAGATCAGTTGAAAAGAAGTTTAACGTTATAGCAATGCTAGTATGAAATGAAGATCAAAAGTAGCAAGTTGGAGGAAAAACATTCAACTGCCTGAAATTTAAGCATGTTCATCCTGAATCATCACTTTGTACCATTCCTTCAACAAGATCAAGTGTTGAGGATATAATAAATCTGATTAAGATATACACTACTAGATCTAGTGCACTCTCCATCCAATCAGCAGCCCTTGTAGACAATTTTAGAAAGAGAAATTATAAATTTAAACGTTTTGGGATTTATTCTGGGAGGCTCTGATTATATTTCTGCAGGGTCTACAAACCCAAAAAGAAGAGCCACACCTGATTTGATTTTGATTCAAATTAAGAAATAAGAAAAACGTTGAAGCCATCAATATTTTGTTGAATTCTTAATTTTTCTTATTCAAATCAGAAGAAGAAGTTTTTCGATGGACAAATATGTGTTGGTAACAGGGAATTTAAAAGGACATTCACAATCTTTTCTGGGAAATTAGTAATACACTTAGGGTAAAACCTTGTGACTTTATTGTGAGGCTATTTTTCTTTCATGATCCTACTAGTGATTTTCAAGAAAAAAATTGAGTCTTTCATGGTGACTTAGGTGAGACTAGCAGTCACTGGAAAGCCAGTGCCATGGAATTTCCCCTGGTGTTTGATATTCATTTTGGGGTCAAAGTCTGAATGCAGAGAGGAAGAAAGAATGGGAAATGGTAAGAATGATTAATATAAATGAAAATTTTGGAAAAATTGGTTCCAATTTTTTTTTCATTTAGAATCATTCTTGCCATGTTCCAATCTTTCTTTCTCCCAGCACTCCCACTCCCCCAAAATGAATATCAAAGCTTTTAAAAAAGTGGCTTGGAAAAACAACTCCTAAACTTTGGGCAATGACTCCCATTTGTTGGTCAACCTCAAGAGGACTGTCTGCAGACCACTCCTGGACCAACTCTGCTTGGTCTGTGGAGTCGTTGGACCAATATCAATTTTTTTTCATGGGAGTTGTCCGCCCATTTTGAATTTTTTTTTTGGGCCGGGGGTCATCCGCCTAGTATTGGGAGTTGTCAATCCCAACTCTGATATTTTCAGGTTCTTCTGTGTGTTTTTTTTTTTTTGGACTGGGAGTTGTCAGGCTAAAGTCGCCTGACAAAAAGGGAGTCAACGGCCCAATTGTCCAAACCGACAACTTGGCTTTCTTTTGTCTTGCGGGAGTTGTCGACAAATCCCTAGCTAATAGGAGTTGGTGTTGGAGAAGAATTAAGGGTTCTTCTCCCACGCAGGAGTTGCCACCCCAAACCCGCATACCCACAACCTTGACCAATATCCACTCACCCACAACAACCTTCCCCCAACACCACCGACTCCCCACCCACTCAACCACCCCCATGGCAAACTCTCACACCCCCACCAACCCTCAACAGCCCCTTGTCCCAAGCACCTCAAGCCAGGCTCAGCCCACTAAGGGGCCACAGCTTCCAAAAGACCCCACCAAGGGGCTTGCACTGCTGACAGGCTACAGCCACCCAAGGATGCCACCAACAGGCTACAGCTGCCAAAGGACGCCACCAAAGGACACCTCCAAGGACGCTTCTGGGGCCGAGGAAGCCACCAAGGACCTTGTACAGCCGGCGGGAGTTGTTGTTGGAGGTGTGGGATCCGTGGGCACAATCAACCAGCCTGCAGGCCCAAAGGTTGTCGGACCAGGGATGAGAGTTGTTGCCGCTTTCTTTTATCCTTATCTTTGTCTCCCTATTGTTTTTCCCAATGAATATAATTTTTTCTCAGTGATAAGGTGCCTTTGAGGCAAGGTCTCAGTGGCTTAATTTTTTTTATGTCTCTAGGGTCACTATATGGTGACAAATCCCATAATAAAAAAGTGGGGGGTGTTTTAGTCAAACGACTCCCATTTTTTTAATAACAAAAAAATGAACATTTTTGGTCAAATTAGGGCTACAACTCCTGTTTTTTAGTTGGACGACTCCTGTATTTTTTAATAAAAAAATCAAAAATGTTTGGTGAAATGGAAATGAGAAGAACAACTCCCTCCAAAAACCCCTCAACCAAAATGGAAGTTGTCGACTAGAATTTAAGAGTCGTTTTTCCAAGCCCCTTGAAAAAATCAATTTTATTTTTTTATTTTTGAAACATTTTGAAACTTTTTTTTTCTATTTTTATTTTTTTTCATATTCATTTTCTGGGACCTATTCTGAACCACTTGATCAAGTCTTGTGACTTCAATCTTGTCCTTTGAAGCACTGGAATCCAAAACAAGCTGCCAAAAATAATGGGGCACCCACTGTAAGTCTGTACTACAATTTCCTTTTGATACAAAGGAAAAAGAAATTTGATTGAAGCAACACTTTTTTTGAAAAAAATATATTTGATCAACAGCTGAGAATTTTCATTTTCACCATATTAAGAAATACAGAGTGATCATCAAATTGTGCATCTGATGACTGTTTTGAAAAAGGATCCCTGTCCTGAATCTTCTATTCATCCAACTCAACTTTTGAGGACCCCAGGGAGCTCTTTCAGGTTTTTTTAAAGGTGGTCTAGGTCTCTATTCCTGTGACTTATTTCTTTTATATTTTCATTCATCTTTTGTTTGAATTGAGTTCTTGTTGTTGATTTTGGATTTGTTAGTTCTCACTTTGTTTCCTCTCAATCTGAGAGTAATCAATGGTATATTTACCAATATCTAATATATTACTGCCAATTCAACTCATAACTTGATGTGGAGGTGTCAATTGAACTGGGGATTACAAATAAAACAATTGAAAAAATCGTACTCAATACTGCAACTCTACTTCCCCAATTCAACAAACAGAAAATGTGACTGAAATTTGATTTTTACAAAAGTATGTTAGCAGTTTATATTGAGCTATTGAGACACAGATCTGGGGGTGTTTGATTGACATCAACAGCTGTAGAGGGAAAATAGGCCATCTTAACTTCTTGTTTATTTAATACATGTTTTTTGTGCATGGTTTCAAGCTCTTTCATCAAATGATTATTGCAGAATGTTTGCAGATTCCCCATGAAGAGAATATCTACTTGTGTATATCAATGTGATTGCAAGCATATTGTGGTTTTAAAAATTTGTTGATACATATTGTCTTTTCAGAGAAGCTTGGAACCATTTGCAAAAAAAATTGTTTTGGCAGATCCAGGCAGATCCCATGCCTTAGATATAAAACTTTGATTTTACAGGTTTGGGTTTGGACAGATATGGGATCCGACCCAAGACCTGGCACTGCAATCCAGCCTTAGTTTCTTCCTAAGAAGAGCTCTGGCAAAATGAAGCTCATATTTGGGATCAGGGTGCAAAGTTTACCCTGATCCCACCAACTACTCGGCCATCCCTTGCTACATCCGACCAGGCTGGGAGGGGAGTTCATGGCCGGGCATCGGGTCGCTGGATAGGGGCTGGGGAGGGAGAAGCAAAAGGTGGGATACATATGACGGAATCCGTGAAAAAAAGAAGATAAAACAGACTTTTTAATGCATAACAAAAATAAAAAAACTCGAGAGGCTCCAAGCTACTCTGAAAAGACAATATACACGCAAATAAATTTTGGAAAGGTCCAAGGGATTTGTAAATACATACATGGTGAATAGATCTTTTCCTGAAGGTCACGTGTACGATTCCTGCCTTGATCAAGCTGGCTACAATTACAAACACCTACTAAATGTTATGGTTAAAATTTGAATCCCGAAAGGAGCCTAATACTGTGCTTGACAGTCTGAGGCACGCATATCTTCCTCCATAAGGTGAAAGAACTAGAAGCAAGACGACCAGGGATAGATGAAAATCAGCTGTCAAGGGCATATCTTAGGTCTCATCCGGCATCCGATTTAAAAACTCACCCCCTTGACATCCTTTCTGTCACCATAGCAGCAGTTTGCTCTCTCAGAAACTAGGCCAGCAATTATCTGACCAACACAGTTACAGGAATCCACCTTTTGTTTCGATTGCGGGGCCACCATCGCTGAGCAATTGTTCGTCAAAAAGAGGATATTGAATTAAAATTTGGTGCAATTCAGAAACAGCATTATACTATAGCACATGAAGTAGATTACTTACCCATGTGCGACGGTTGGTCTCTCCCGCTAACTAATTGAGCTTTCTCTTGCGGGGTGGCGTGTCTGGTGCATACTTCAAAATAATTTTCTTTGCATCTGAAAGGGATCTCGCCATTGATCACGCTGGTGACTAAGTTGATGATGGAAAATAAAATCCAGGTAGATATCTGCATTGTTATTAATAACAAAAAATCTGATAGGTCGAAGTTCTAAACGTGATTGATTGTGCTGATTTTGAATGCCTGGGGCAATAAGTAATTGCTCAACTGTTGGGGAATGTTCGAGAGCAGGTGCACCGGAAGAATGAGAAATGGAACCATTGGAAACATGAGAAGGTAAAAAGGTGTATCCGATTGATTGGTAGATTCATGTACATCGCAATATGGAGCCAGTATCAGCACCGGTGCACATTGGATCCATGGCAAAGCTTCAAGCCTTTGTCATTGCCACAAGTAAAACCGAATTGTGCAGGAGAAATTGTGGAGAAGGGCTAGTCGGGATCGGCCATCACCCAGACAACCAACGGTTTGTGGGTTGGCTGTAAGGTCCAAAACGCGTGTTGTCATCATCTAGATCCAATGGCCTCCCCTTTGGCTGAGTGTGCCATGGCATCGTTGCTGATGTATGCGCGTACAGATAAATCGTTGGTAGCGATCAAACAACACAAGCCACTTGATTGCATTTACGTGTTTCTTGGAGGTCTCTTGCGGCCCGTATTTTCATCGCATTGCTGCCGCACACAGCGGAAAGTTTTCACGATGCTTCGCAACGCACAGAAATCTTGATGTAGGCTTCCATTTTGTGGAAAAATGAGGTCGTGACAGAGTGAATCCTGCCTAGAATACAAATCCACCAACTTGAAAAGAATAATGCTAAGAGATTGAAGAAAAAAGCCTCAAAAAGCAAATCATAGTCGAACCATGTTATCTTTCTTAATATGAGGAACCGCGACCAAAGAAAACGCGCCCAGTTTTTCAATTTCCGCACACGGAGGCTTTTGTGCTCAGGCTCTCTTCTCAGACCAAGATACCAAGAATTCACATCTCCAGCCGCTCATCCTTGTTGGTACAGTTTTTTTTTTTTTCAAAGATGTGATCCGATTGGTCAATACAATTCTAGAACATCGTGCAATCTGTCCCAGGTTTATTGTGATGGAATAAAGCATGTAACTAGATACAGAATTTGCCTCTCTGAGTTGATGGTAAAATGTCTATAAAATGAATACAGATAAATGAGTTGAGGGTTTTTGAAAAAAAATACAATGTCCAATGTAGTAAAAGAGAGTAGCTCTCAGCTCAACGAGCCAGGTAAACGCAACAAAAGATATGTAGTTTCAGATTTCAGTATCGACACTCTTCGTATCGAATATATACGAAGGCCAGCATGGTGATCAGTTCGGGCTGTTGAATGAATAATTGGAATCAGGACCTTTATCTGTCTGTTTGGGTTTGATTTACTGGAGATTAACGAGGACGTACCAGTGGGGCATTATCAATGGATGAAAGAGTGAAGGTTTTGACCCCGCTGGGAGTGTTCAGCCATGTATCTTGTCGATTTTGACCTGAGCCAATATCAAGGTAGAGTTAGACGATATGATTTTCTTGTGCGAGTGTTTGCAGTGGTGGCAGGAAGAGAGAAGAGAGACAAAACACACCTCTGAGCCGGCCAACCAGAATGTCACCTCTACCTTTGGCCACACTGTAAATGAATCCTCCTTTGATCGTATGATTTCGGAGGAATTTGGAGTACTGCCGGACACCTGCGGCATCATCCCAGGCGTTAAATCACCAGACATCTGTCTGGTAATTTCTGGGATCATAGCTTCGATCGGAAGCCGGAGCCGGATTGGGTGAGCTGAGTCCATCTGAAGCCGGAGGGCTAACAGGACTCAGGACTGTAGAAAGGCTACGGCTGCGGAATGCTAAAACTATATGCAATGCAAAACTATGAAGATGCTAAGAAACGTATAGACAATGATGAAGGATAACTAGATGGCTGCGGTCTACAAAGCGAGGGAGAAGCTCGAGGGTTTATATACCCGAGGAGATAGGTGAAACACAAAGTACGAGAGGCGGAGAGCCGCATACAAGAGTAGACCAAAGCAGTCTGGTCGAAAAGGGAGAAGGGGCTGAGTATCAGCCCAGTCCAGGAAAGGAACCAAGGTCGTGAGGGTCCATGACGTGTCGTCGTGGTCCTAAGTAGGTGGTGCTGTCGTGGCACCGGCTACAACATCCCCCCCCCCCATTTTTAGAGGCCGTCCCGGTCCTCGGCGTAATGAATTTTCCTTCAAACTTGAGGCGTATACCAGGTTTCGAAACCTTCGAAATTGATTTCGTATTTGTCAGGGCCTTTTTTGCTACGCGGGCGTCCTTCTGGCGTTCTTTAAGCGCAATAATCGGTGGAGTCGCCCACATGTCGTTCGTTAGAAGAGATCGAAGAGAGACAGGCCGGAGAGAATTTCCATTTACGGGCCGCAGATAATCAGACCCATCGGTATCAGAGAGAATGTACACATTGTTTTCTAGTACAGCCTTAATCTCGAAAGGACCGTACCAGCGCGGAGCGCCTTTTACATGGGCCTCGTTTCGTAGTTTGACTGCTTCCCCCACAGCGTAGCGAGGTGGAACAGTACCTAATTTGGTGTCAAAGGATTTCTTGTTTTTATCCGAACGTTTGGCAACGTTAGTCAGGGCTACTGTGCGTTTAGCATTAAGCTGCCTGATACGTTCGCGTAGGGCATCTTCCCCAGGACATGCTACATCCGTAGCGATAGGTTTAACCGGGTCAGATGCCAGTCGTGGTTTTACCCCATAAGTCAACTCGAAAGGGGAGAATTTACTGCTGTCACTGCAGTGAATTCTAGTCGAGTAAAGTGCTGCCGGAAGATAGTCTTCCCAACGACTCAGATCCCCGGATTTATTCAGTTTAAACAGCGCCGCTTCGAGTATACCGTTGTATCTCTCGTTTTTCCCGTTAGTCTGAGGGTGGTAACCAGAAGTGTTCGCCTTCCTGATATCTCCTGCCGCCAAAAAACTTGTCAATCCTTTGGAAAGAAAATTAGAACCCCTGTCCGTCAGGAATTCGCGTGGCAAGCCAAAAGGAGTAATGACATGCTCAAGAAGGGCCTCAGCAATGTTCGTTGCTGTCGCATCCCGCATCGGAATAGCAATCGGCCAGGACGTGCAGTGGTCGATGATCGTCAAGATCCATCGGTACTTGTGTACCCGACTTTCCGTTAACTGGATAAAATCCGCAGACCAGCGCTCGAACGGGCCTACCAAAGGCAAAGGAACCTGAGCCGATGTTTCCTGAGAGTCTCTGGAGCGTTCAAAGACTTGACACTGGGCGCAAGTCCTAACATACGCCTTCACATCGGTGAGACGATGAGGCCACCAACC